GTGGAGGGGCAGCTCCCCCTGCCACTTTCCCCATTTCCGCAGGGGAGCAGCACACCACCGGCCGGCTCTCTCGGGGGCTGCTCAGATGTTATCCGGATGTTCCTGGTGCACGTTGTCTCTCTCCTCCTTTATAGTCCTCTTCCACCAATCCCAACTCTGCTACCGAGCACGCTGCTCTCCTCCAATCAGGAGCAAGATCAGCTCCTGCAGCTCATCAGTCAAATTGGCGAGAGGCAGCTGTGTAGAAGTTGTTTACTCCTCTCCCAGCGCCATATTGTGGGAAAGCAGATGCATAGAATAAGTCTTAATTCCAGTAACTTAGTCTAGTCCGAGTTGCTCCCCACACTGCCTTTCAAATAAATAAATCTTTTTTTAAAAAGAAAAAAAATCCATTTTGCTTTCAATTTCAGCTGCTTAGAAAATAACTTTGGAGTAAACATTTCTAAGTATATTTTTATTTTTAATTGACATAATAATTATATATATTTATGGGGTACAATGTGAGATTTCAATATATGTATGCAACGTGTAATGATCAGGTCAGGGTAGGGTAGTTGTCACATCTATCACCGTCAGCGTTTCTTATGCCTTCGTTAGGAAGATTCAAAATCCTATTAGCTATTTTGAAATCTTCAATTAATTATTGTCAACCACGGCTATAGAACACTGTAAGTTACTCCTGTAATCTAACTGTACCCCTGTACCTGTTAACCATCTTCTCTCCTCATTCCCCTCCCCCAGGCCCTTCCTGGGCTTGGTAGCCCCTATTTTCTTCTCTACTTCTATGAGATCAAATTTTAGCTTACACCAATGAGTGAGAACATGTGGTATTTGTTTTTCTGTGCCTGACATAATGTCCTCAAGTTCCATCCAAGTTGCTGCAAATGGCAGAATTTCTTTACTTTTAGCCATTCTGGTAAATAATAGTGTATCATGGTTGTTTTAATTTGCATTTTCTTGGTGTCTACTAATATTGAGCATTTTTTAATTGAGTACATTGGCCATTTAGCTATCTTTTTTTTTTTTTTCTTAAGATTTACTTATTTATTTGGAAGGCAGGGTTACAAAGAGGCAGAGTCAGAAGGGAGAGACAGAGGAGGTCTTCCATCTCGTGGTTCACTCCCCAAATGGCAACAATGGCTGGAGCTGGGCCAATCTGAAGCCAAGAGCCAGGAGCTTCCTCCAGGTCTCCCATGTGGGTGCAGGGGCCCAAGAAGTTGGACCATCTTCTGCTGCTGTCCCAGGCCAAAGCAGAGAGCTGGATTGGAAGTAGAGCAGCCAGGTCTTGAGCCAGCGCTCATATAGGATACTAGCATTGCAGGCGTGGCTTTACCCATTAAGCCACAATGCTGGCTCCAAGCTATCCTTTTTAAAATGATATTTTATTGATATTTCATGCCCATTTTTCTTTTCTTTTCTTTTCTTTTTTTTTGACAGGTAGAGTGGACAATGAGAGAGAGAGACAGAGAGAAAGGTCTTCCTTTTCCATTGGTTCACCCTCCAATGGCCGTCGTGGCCGGCGCGCTGCAGCCGGCGCACCACGCTGATCCGAAGGCAGGAGCCAGGTGCTTCTCCTGGTCTCCCATGGGGTGCAGGGCCCAAGCACCTGGACCATCCTCCACTGCACTCCCTGGCCACAGCAGAGAGCTGGCCTGGAAGAGGGGCAACCGGGACAGAATCCGGCGCCCCAACCGGGACTAGAACCCGGTGTGCCGGCGCCGCAGGTGGAGGATTAGCCTAGTGAGCCGCGGCGCCGGCCCTCTTTTCATTTTTTTTAAAGATTTATTTTATTTACTTGACATTTAGAGTTACAGAGAGAGATAGAAACAGAGAGAGGTCTTCTATCCGCTGGTTCACTCCTCAGATGGCCGCAACAGCTGGAGCTGCGCCGATCTGAAGCCAGGAGCCAGGAGCTTCTTCCATGTCTCCCAATCATGCCCATTTTTCTTTGTTGATCCCCCCTCCTTTATTTGTGGAAATTCTTAATGATTCCGGATATGAGCTCTTTTTGGATTATGTATATTATAGATGTATTTTTCCATCTGTAGTTAATGATGTCTTGATGAACACAATTTCTTTTTTTTTTTTTTTTTTAAGATTTTATTTATTTGAAAGACAAAGTGACAGAGAGGGTGAGACAGAGAGAAATCCATCTATCCTTTGGTTCATCCCCCAAATGGCTGTAATGGCTGGGACTGGGTCTGGAGGAAGCCAGGAACCTGTAACTCTATCCAGGTCTCCCACATGGAGCCCAAGGACTTGAGTCACTTTTTGTTGCCTTACAGAGAGAGAGGGGAGAGACAGAGATTTTCCATCTGCTGGTTCACTCCCCAAATGGCCACAACAACCAGGGCTGGGCTAGGCCAAAGCCAGGAGCTTGGAGCTTCATCTGGGTCTTATTTAAAATTAATTTTTCCGAGCCAGCATTGCAGCATAGTGGGTAAAGCTGCTGGCATTCCATATGAGTTCTGATTTGAGTCCGGCTGCTTTATTTCTGATCTAGCTCCCTGCTGATGGCCTAGGAAACGTAGTGGAAGATGGCCCAAGTGTTTGGACCCCTTCTACCCATGTGGGAGACCTAGAAGAAGCTCCTGGTGCCTGACTTTGGCCTGGCTCCTGGCTTTGGCCTGGCTTAATGCTGGCTGTTGCAGCTAATGAATCAGTGGATGGGAGATCGATCGATCTCTCACTCTCTCAAATAAATAAATAAATCTTTGAGAAAAATTATTTTCCCAGCCTGAGTTCAAGAATCTATTCTTCTATGTTATCTTCTAGAGATTTCCTATTTTGATATTCATCTTAAGATCTACAGTTTACCTGGAATTGATCCTTGTTTATGGTGTGAGATGTGTCAATTTTTGTTTTTTTCTCCTGTCATATCTAAGTGTCCCAGCACTATTTATTAAGAAGGTCATCCATATTCCACTAATTTGCACTGAACTTGGTAAAAGAAAGTGGAGGGGGGGGCCAGCGCTGTGGTAGAGTGGGTTAAGCTACTGTCTGCAACATTGGCATCTCATATGGCTGCTTTTTTGGGTCCTGGCTGCTCCACTTCTGATTCAGTTCCTTGCTAATCTGCCTGGGAAAACAGTGGAAGATGACCCAAATGCTTTGGCCCCTGCATCCATATGGGAGACCCAGATGAAGCTCCAGGTTCCTGGCTTCGGCCTCAGCTGTTGTGGCCATTTGGGGAAAGAACCAGCAAATGGAAGAGCTCTCTCTCTTTTTGTAATTTGCCTTTCAAATAAAGAAATCTTTAAAAAAGTGGAAGGAAGGAAATAATAAAGAGAAGAAATTAGTGAAATAAACAATAAGCACATAAAAGAGGGTCAACAAAGCTGAAAGTTGGAATCTTGACAAAGCTAATAAAATTGCTAACCCCCTAATAATAGTCATGCTTTTAAAAAAGAGAGAAAACAAATTACCTGCATTAGAAACGAAGAGGAGGCCATCACCCTGGAACCTGGAGACATAAAAAAATAAGAGGATATTACAAACAAGTTTGTACTAATAATGTTTAAAAATGTTTGTGAAATAGCAAAAAATATAGAAGCACACAACTTATCAAAGTTAACAGAAAAAAAAAAAAACAAACCAGAAGATGTGAGCATTTGGCTCAGCGATTAAGAAGCTGCGTGGGATGCTTGCATCACATATCTGATTGCCTGGTTCGGGGCCAGCCACTGTGCTTCTAATCTAGCCTCTAGCTAATGTGCACCCTGGGAGGCAGCAGGTGTTACCTCGAGTACCTGGTCTTTGCCACCCATATGGGAGATCTGGATTGTATTCTGCATCCTTGACTCCAGCCTGGTGAAGCCCTGGCTGTTGCAGGCATTTGGGGAGTAAACCAACAGTTGGAAGATTTCTGTCTCTGTCTCTGCCTTTCAAATAAACATCAATAAATGAAGTTGACAATTAAAAAATTTGCTTTATCCTGATAACCTGTGAAATTGAGATTCTTTTCATTATTTAAGTCTGTTCTTCTGTGAATTACTGATTATATTCTTAGACTAATTTTCTGGTGAATATCTTTTTCTTTTTAAGATTTATTTATTTGAAAGTAAGTCAGGGAGAGACGGAGAGAAAGATATTCCATCCTGTGCTTCACTCCTCAGATGGCCACAACAGCCTGCAATTGTCCAGGCCGAAAGCCAGGAAGCTTCCTCCAGATCTTCATCCAGATCTTACAAGTGGGTGGCAGGGACCCACAAACACTTGGACCATCTTCTTCTGTTTTTTTCCCAGGCCGTTAGCAGGGAGCTGGATCAGAAGTGGAGCAGGTGGGACACAAACTGGTGCCTGTATGGGATGTCTGCATTGTAGACAGTAGCTTTACCCACTATGTCACAATTCTGGCTTTTCTTAATAATTTTAGGCTTACTGATAAATTCTGAATACTAATCCTTTGTTAGTTATATTCACGACAAATGTCTTTTTCTGGTCTATGACTTTATTATTACTTTTAAAGCCGTAAAATAATTAATCAGTTTATGTTTACATGAATAAAAGCTAAAGAAAATACAAAAGAGCACAGTGAATGTTTTTCTCCCACTCCTGTTCCTCTTTCATCCAGTTCCTCTTCAGACCCATTGTGACTTCGTTTTTTAAAAACTTCATTTATAATGTCATTTGTTACACATAAGTTTTACATTTTAAAGCAGTTAAATTTATTAGTCTTTGTTGATTGTGCTTTTTATGTTTTATGAAGCCTCTGCCATATTAATTATTCTGCGCTACTCTTTTCTAAAGTTTTCAAAGTTTGGCTTTCATATTTAGACCTTTATTTTGTCTAATTGGAATTTATTTTCTGTGTATGATGTGAGGTAGGGATCATTCCTCCTCATACTGTAAAACTAACTGTCCGGGTGCTTTCATTCTGGGATTCTTTTATCCAATGGAACTTTCAGTGGTGATGGGAGTCTGCTCTTGAGCTTTCTCTATGGGTTGGCCGATACAGTTAACTAGTCCAGCTTTTTATTCTGTTTTGTTCCTGCTTGCAGATGAGCGCTCAGAGTCCTCACAAGTACGGCCTTTCAGGCCCCATAATGTGCCCTGTGTCCTCTAACTCGTCTGGAATTTGTGTAGGCTGTGCCGGGGCAGGGAAAGGAGAGTTCCTTTGTCACAACAAGTAAGAAGGAAGCTTTTTTCCTGTCTCTTCGGTTTCCCAATGCCTCATCAGAAGCTTTCAGCATTTATGTAAGAAACTTACTTATTTTTCTTGAATTTGAGCAAACTTAGAATTTGTTTTCAAAATGAAATAGACTAGGGAGTTGTTTTTCTTAAATATTTTTGTTCCTTTAGTCCTAGAAATCTCTTTAGTTCTTAAAAATGTTTCTTGATACTCTTAGCTTCGTACTCTTATGGGGGTATTGTGTATTCTTTGGAAAGGGGTTAGTGGACTTTGTGATACAGGATAACTTGGGGGGAAAAATGATGTGCTCTTTTTCATCTCTTATCTTCCACTTTCCTTCCTTTTTTTTTTTTTTTTTTTTTTTTTTCCTTTAAGCCATTTCTGTTTCAGAGATTCCCCAATCACAAAAGTTGAGGAAGGGCCGGCGGAGGGGAAAGAAGGTGGCATATCATGGACATGGGGAGGGAGGGAAGAGAAGCAGGGGAGGTAGCAGACAGTTTTCATGTTACTTGTGTGTGAGGACTTCCACAGTATCTTTCTTCTTGTATTTCTTGTAACTAGCTAGGGACAGCCTTAAACTTTATTCCTTTCCATTCACAAGATTTTAGGAGAGAGCAGTTTCTGGAGGGATGGCCAGATGGCCAGATGGGAGGGATTCTGTGGGGAAGCTGCTAGGGGCCTTGCGCTTCCAGCTCCATTCTCACTTGTGTGTTTGACTACATTTAATACTAGAAGGGTCAACCATGATAGAAGTATTTTTTGTTTGTTTGTTTTTGTTTTTGACAGGCAGAGTTAGAGAGAGAGTCAGAGAGAAAGGTCGTCCTTTTCCATTGGTTCACCCCCCAAATGGCTGCTATGGCCAGCGCACTATGCCGATCCAAAGCCAGGGGCCAGGTGCCTCCTCCTGGTCTCCCATGCGGGTGCAGGGCCCAAGCACCTGGGCCATCCTCCACTGCACTCCCTGGCCACAGCAGAGAGCTGGACTGGAAGAGGAGCAACCGGGACAGAATCAGACGCCCCAACCGGGACTAGAACCCGGTGTGCTGGCGCCGCAGGTGGAGGATTAGCCAAGTGAGCCGCGGCGCCGGCCTCAAAATTTAAAAGGATGTGAGTTCTGTACAATTATTAGACTCAATAAATTAGATGATTGTTTTTGGTGCTAGCACATTTCATGATTTTCTAACCCTCTCAGTAAAGTAGTGATTTCTCACTGGCAGTGATTTTAAGCAGTAGTTTAATATTGACTCTTGTTTCTTGACTAAAATAAGTTAGCATTTTTAAAAATTATTTATTTTATTTTATTTTATTTTTTTGGTTTTTGACAGGCAGAGTGGACAGTGAGAGAGAGAGGCAAAGAGAAAGGTCTTCCTTTTTGCCGTTGGTTCACCCTCCAATGACGGCCGCCGGCGGCGGGGTGCAGCCAGCGCACCACGCTGATCCGAAGAAGGGAGGCAGGTGCTTCTCCTGGTCTCCCATGGGGTGCAGGGCCCAAGCACCTGGGCCATCCTCCACTGCACTCCCTGGCCACAGCAGAGAGCTGGCCTGGAAGAGGGGCAACCAGGACAGAATCCGGCGCCCCGACCGGGACTAGAACCCGGTGTGCTGGCGCCGCTAGGTGGAGGTTTAGCCTAGTGAGCCGCGGCGCCGGCCGTCAGTAGTCTTAAGATGAAGCTGTTTCTGATTTTAATCTGCTTATATCATAATCATTGGTATCTTTATGTTCACCAAGGAAAAAATACCTTATCCTAATATGTAAAAAGGTTAAGGAGACAAATTTTTTTTTTTTTTTTTTCCGACAGGCAGAGTGGACAGTGAGAGAGAGACAGAGAGAGAAAGGTCTTCCTTTTGCCGTTGGTTCACCCTCCAATGGCCGCCGCTGCAGCCGGCGCACCGCGCTGATCCGATGGCAGGAGCCAGGATCCAGGTGCTTTTCCTGGTCTCCCATGGGGTGCAGGGCCCAAGCACCTGGGCCATCCTCCACTGCACTCCCGGGCCATAGCAGAGAGCTGGCCTGGAAGAGGAGCAACCGGGACAGAATCCGGCGCCCCAACCGGGACTAGAACCCGGGATGCCGGCACCACAGGCGGAGGATTAGCCTAGTGAGCCACGGCGCCGGCCTGGAGACAAATTTTTTTTTAAGAGATTTTATTTATTTATTTGAGAGGTAGAGTTACAGACAGTGAGACAGAGAAAAGGGTCTTCCATCCGCTGGTTCACTCCCCAGTTGGCCACAATGGCTGGAGCTGAGGTGGTCCAAAGCCAGGAGCCAGGAGCTTCCTCCAGGTCTTCCATGTGGGTACAGAGTTGGACCACCTTCTACTGCTTTCCCAGGCCATAACAGAGAGTTGCACTGTAAGAGGAGCAGCCGAGACTTGAACAGGTGCCCATATGGGATGTGGGCGCCATAGGCAGAGGATTAACCTACTGCGTCACAGCGCTGACTCCAGTTATATATGTTTTAAATAACACAATAAGTATTTCCAAATAATGCTTAAAGTTTCAGGATAGGATACTAACATAATACATTGTAAAAAATAACTACCAACTGTCTTATCACTGGCCAAAATTCTAAAGTGTAGGATAATTTCTCTAAAACAGCAAAAGATATACACTAGGCCGGCGCTGGGCTCACTTGGCTAATGCTCCGCCTGTGGCGCCAGCACCCCAGGTTCTAGTCCCGGTTGGGGCGTTGGATTCTGTCCTGGTTGCTCCTCTTCCAGTCCAGCTCTCTGCTGTGGCCCAGGAGTGCAGTGGAGGATGGCCCAAGTGCTTGGGCCCTGCACCTGCATGGGAGACCAGGAGGAAGCACCTGGCTTCGGATCGGCGCAGCGCACCGGCCGCAGTGCGCCGGCAGTAGTGGCCATTTGGGGGGTGAACCAATGGAAAAGGAAGACCTTTCTTTCTGTCTTTCTCTCTCACTGTCTAACTCTGCCTGTCAAAAAAAAAATATACACTAAAAACTTTGTATTTTGGAGACAATATTGAAATGTTTATGAATGAAATAATGATACCTGAGAATTGCTCTGAAACATCCAGGGGTGGATTGGAAGAGCGCGTGGGAGAAACATGAAACTCGACGCACCATGAATTAGTCATCGTGAAATGAATATAGGGAAGAATTGTTTCCTCTATTGTTGTTAATATTTGAATTTTTATATCAAAAAGCTAAGAGATGAACAGTTTCCATATTGGCAGTGTTGTCATAAAATTGTTATGTTTTATGTAAAATAGAGATCTTAGTCATCGTAGCTCTAAAGTTAATGAAAAATTTTAGTAACCACAAACTCCTTCGGTCCTTAGCTTACCTGCTGGGCATTACTCATACACTGAGACAGCACCAATCTCATTTTACCAAACCAAATAATTCCCCAAACAGCATCTAAATTCAATCAGGAAGACTTAATACAGAGAGATTCTTTAAGAGCCACGATAGGACAGGTTAGTTGATCCATCAGTAATTATGAGAGTTTTAAAAATTTTATTTATGTATGTATTTGAAAGGCAGAATGAGAGAAAGAGAGAGAGAGATCAACCTGTCTTCCATTTTTTGGTTCACTCCCCAAATGGCCGCAATGGCTGGGCTGGCCAGGCCAAAGCCAGGAGCCTAAAGCTTCTTCCAGATCTCCTACATAGGTGCACAGGCCCAAGCACTTGGGCCATACTCCTCTGCTTTCCCAGGCACATTTACAGGGAACTGGATCAGAAGTGGCATAGCTGGGACTCGATCCAGTGCCCAAATGAGATGCTGGTATCGCAGGCAGCAGCTTTACTATGACACAGTGCCGGCCCCTGTATGTTTCTTTATAAGTACTTTCTTCACTGCATTCAAATTGCTCAAAACCTTGGAAGGTTACAACCTACTGCCAAAACCAACTCCAGAGTCACAGTCAGCATTACTGAGAGCCTTCAAGGTCACCTCGTGCAGCACCTGAAAGTCAGCAACTCCTGAAGTGAAGTGAGTCCCTTCATCAGTGTTCCTCTTCCACTAGCCAGTACTTTACTGTTTCCTTGTTGCACTGCACAGTAGAGGTGGTTTTAAATAATTCTTTCTAAGATTTATTTATTTATTTTTAAAAGAGAAAAGCAGAGAGAGAGAGAAAGAGAGAGAGAGAAAGATCTTCCACCCTCTGGTTCACTCCCCAGATGGCCACAACAGCTGGCCTGGGCCTGGATGAAGCCAGGCTCTCCACATGGGGTAGGAGCCCAAGCACTTGGGCCATCATCCACTGCTTTTCCCAGGCCATTCACAGGGAGCTGGCTGGAAGTGAAGCAGCTAGAACTCTAACGGTGCCCATATGGGATGCCAGGCAGCAGCTTTACTCACTATGCCACAAGGCCAGCCCCAGTTGCTGGTTTCAGGTATCTCATATTTTCAAAAGCAGACCGTAAGACTGAAGTGGTCTTAAATTTTTTCCTATCTGCTCCTATTATAAAATGCTTTTAAGCACCTAAAATGTCAGACATAAGAGTAAGTAATGGAGAAAAAGTCCCCAAAATAGTAAGTATCAAAATAATTAAATAACTCAGGACTATAAAGGTAATTAATAAAGGCTGTGACCTGTGACGTCAGCATCCCATTTGGGTGCTGGTTCACGTCCCAGATGTTCCACTTTGATCCAGCTCCCTGCTAATATGCCTGGGAAAGCAGCAGAAAACGGCCCAGGTGCTTGGGTCCTTGCTACCTACCTGGGTGTGGGAGACCTAGATGGAATTCCAGTCCCACCCACTGCAGCCATTTGGGGAGTGAACCAGCGGATGGAGGCTCTCTCGCTCTCTCTCTCTCTCTAACTCTGCCTTTCAACTAAATAAATAAATCTTTAAAAAAGAGATAATTTTGGGGAGCAGGCATTTGGCACAATGGTTAAGAACGCTGTTGAGGACACCCTCAACTCATCTAAATGCCTGGGTCTAAATTCTGGCTCTTTTTCCAATTCCAGTGTCTTGCCATATGCACACTTTGAGGCAGCAGGTGATGGTTTAAGTAGTGGGGTCTCTGCCATCATGTGGGAGACCAGGATTGAGTTCTAGGCTGTTGTCTGTGGCCTGGCCCATTCATGGCTGTTTCAGGCATTTGGGGAGTAGACCAGCACAGGGAAAATCTCTGTCTTTTAGACAAAAATAAATAAAATTTTAAAAAGATAATTACTTCCTCATTATAAAATACTGAATTAATAATTTTCTATACTTATTTTCCAATTGGAGACAAACATTTTAAGTTCTCTTTCTTTAGTTACTTTTTGGCTTGAGGCCATACAGTCATAGTTTCAATTCTTCATGTCATTTCTTATAATGTTAGATTAAAACAAAAGGAGGCTAGGAGTCCAACCAAAGATTTGGGCTCTTGGTTAAAATGATGTAAAACTTTTCAGGGAAGTAAGCTTGTGCCTTGTTTTTGTTATACTGTTACTAAAATTATCCATGTAGTGTTGGCAAAGTGTGTTGCTGATTAATTATACGTAGTATTTAGAGATGTCATTTTTTTTTTCTGGAGTAGAGTTTTTTTTTTTTTTTTTTGACAGGCAGAGTGGACAGTGAGAGAGAGAGACAGAGAGAGAAAGGTCTTCCTTTGCCGTTGGTTCACCCTCCAGTGGCCGCCGCTGCAGCCGGCGCACCGCGCTGATCCGATGGCAGGAGCCAGGATCCAGGTGCTTTTCCTGGTCTCCCATGGGGTGCAGGGCCCAAGCACCTGGGCCATCCTCCACTGCACTCCCGGGCCATAGCAGAGAGCTGGCCTGGAAGAGGGGCAACCGGGACAGAATCCGGCGCCCCAACCGGGACTAGAACCCGGTGTGCCGGCGCCGCAAGGTGGAGGATTAGCCTATTGAGCCACGGCGCCGGCTTTTTTTTTTTTTTTTTTTTTTGACAGGCAGAGTGGACAGTGAGGGAGAGAGAGAGAGACATAGAGAAAGGTCTTCCTTTGCTGTTGGTTCACCCTCCAACGGCCACCGTGGGCGGCACGCTGCGGCCGGCTGATCCAAAGGCAGGAGCCAGGTGCTTCTCCTGGTCTCCCATAGGGTGCAGGGCCCAAGCACCTGGGCCATCCTCCACTGCACTCCCGGGCCATAGCAGAGAGCTGGCCTGGAAGAGGACAAACCGGGACAGAATCCGGCGCCCCGATCGGGACTAGAACCCGGTATGCTGGCGCCGCTAGGTGGAGGATTAGCCTAGTGAGCTGCGGCGCTGGCCCGGGAATAGAGCTTTGATACCTAGGGAGTAGTGGCAACTTTTTTTTTTTTTTTTTTTTTTTTTTAAGATTTAATTTATTTTGAGAGGTAAAGTGACAGACAGGGAGAGGGAAAGACAGAGAGAAAGGTCTTCCATCTGCCGGTTCACTCCCCAAATGGCTGTAACAGCTGGAGCTGAGCTGATCTGAAGCCAGGAGCCAGTAACTTCTTCTGGGTGTCTCATGCGAGTACAGGGGTCCAAGTGTGTGGGCCATCTTCTACTGCTTTCCCAGGCTATAGCAGAGAGCTGGACTGGAAGAGGAACAGTTGGGACTAGAACCACATGGGATGCCGGCACCATAGGCAGAGGCTTAACCTGCGCCACAGTGCTGGCCCAGTGGCAACTTTTAAGTTGTGATTGTTTTTATTGTGGGAGTGTTTATATGAGTTAGGTGTAATTCAACTTTGGCTGAGATGTGATAGCTTGTTCTTTCTGGCTTGTTATAGCTACTCATCCTTTATGTAATAGATGACTATATAATAAAGCATAGAATAAGCCATTAGAGTTAATTGATGATGGACACAAACAATGATGTATCTACTTTAGAGATGGAATAATACAGTTTTTTTTTCTTTTTTTAAATGACACATCACTCCTTTATTACTCTGATCTGGAAAAAGGATTCCGTACAGTTATGCTCAGAATGAGCACTGGGCACACGTGGCAGGGCCGAGCAACTGGAAAACATGATTCAGAATCAGACAGCGAAAGTCACACTTGGACATGATCAAGAGGCATCTCACTGCCACAAAACAGGCAGGGGAGGGATCCTAAGACGCAGCAGGAGGCACTCCCACCCCTTAGAGGCCAGGCTCATCCCATACTGTGTGAGGAATGGCTGATTCTCTGGTGACCACACTGGGGACTATCTGAACCGCCACTAGGAACCCAGAAGGGCTTTTGTCTAGTATCCGTTTCTCTCTCTCTCTCTCTCTCTCTCTCTCTCTCTCTCTCACACACACACACACACACACATACAGTTTTGTAAAAGTAAATGCATCACAAACTTACTTCGGGCTTGATCCCAACCTCTGGAGCCAGCTCCTCTGGGGTGAGGGGGGCAGTGGCGGTGGTGTTTTTAAATCCCCATGCAGTTACATTCACCTCCACTGAATGACTAGAGCCCCTGGGGCAGTGAGCTGACTGTGGAAGCCACAGGTCTGGCTCCTGGGAACACGGGAGACTCTCCTGCCTCTCCTCATTTTTTTTCTTTTTTTTATATTTATTTATATATTTGTCAATCTTCTGTCCACTGATTCACTCCCCAAATAGCCACAACAGCTGGAGCTGGGCTGGGCTAATCCAAAGCCAGTAGCCAGGAACTCCATCCTGGTCACAGGGGTGGCAGGGGCCCCAGCACTTGGCCATCTTCCGCTGCCTTCCCATGTGCATTAGCAGGGAGGTGGATTGGCAGTAGGGCTGCTGGGACTCCAACTAGCACTCACATGGGATTCTAGAGTTGCAGGTGGTGGGTTAACATATGGGCCACAATGCTGCCCCCATCCCTCCCCCCCGCTCTCCTCATTGGTCAGGCCTTTGCATGGCTCCTCTCTCTCCCTACTCCAGTAGGCCCTTAGTAAATAGAGCACTTATCACGTATGGGCATTTGGACCTCTCAACTCTCTTGGAGAGAGGACCCTTCCCTCTGCTTGGACTGACAGCCCGTACCCCAGGGGTGTTGTCCTAACTAGATTGTGTGAAGAGAGTGGTGCAAGAGACAAAATAGCTGAAAGAAAAGCGGAGCCACCAGTCCCCCCCCTGCAGCTACAACCTAAGGTGCCTACGAGGTGGTCAGTGTGACATGTGCAGGGGACAGGTGCAGAGGGATGGGCAGGCAGGGAGGGTGGTCCTGGGGGTTGTGGTCCGCCTGCTTGCCTTCACTTCTTGGCCTTGCCCTGGGCAGCCACAGCTTCCATGGCTTTGCGCACGGTCTCTTCATCCCCCAGGAACTGCATGGGCTTGATGGGCTTCAAGTTCTTGTCCAGTTCATAGACAGTGGGGATACCAGTCGGCAGGTTCAGCTCCATGATGGCCTCTTCAGAGAGACTGCAGATGCTTGACAGTGTCCGGCAGGGTGCTGCCTGGGTTGTGATCTGTACCCATCTTCCCTCCTTGACGTGGGCATGATGTCTTCATTCCAGAAGGGTAGAGCTCTGGCTAGCGTGTCCATCGGACTCCAAGGAGGACAGCTGATCCGCAGTGAGGTCTGCACAGCTCTGCCCTTAGTGATGCTGCTCTGGAGGAGATGGTCAGATTCCTCGGGAGGCAGAGGCTTATCACAGGAGTGCCTCCCGATCTTTACCGCGCTTGGCGACAGGTTGTTTTATTGAGGCCAGCCAGATCCTCATAGAGCCATTCGTTGGGACAGCAAGCCCTGACTGGCAGCCACATCTGGTCCTTGGCATTCAGTATGGTCCAGAGAGTCTGTATCACTCTTTTCTGCGCTGTGATGAAGCAGAAGTGAAAATAATGGCTTGCATGTTCGAGCACTTGCCCACTACCCTTTGCTTCCTCATGGCCTGTGGGGCTCAGGTCAGTTTTGTAGCAGCATTGAAGTGATTCTTTAGATTCCAGGTGCTCTTGCTGTGTAGGGTCAGCACCAGCTTGTAGGTGCCCAAGGCTCTGTGCTGGGGATGCGGTGCCATCCAGAAAATCACTCACTCCCCAAATGCCCACAACAGACAGCATTGGGCCAGGCTGAAGTCAGGAACCTAGAACTCAGTCTGGGTCTCCCTGTGGGTGTCAGGGACCCAAGCACTTGATCCATCATCTTCTGCCTTCCAAGGTGCACATTAGCTGGCAGGTCTTGAACACAGGCATTCCAATTTGGGGTGCTGGTGCCCAGCTGGCATCTTAATCACCGTGCCAGATGCCTTTTAAAGTAAAACCTATTTGTGGACCTGGGCAAAGTGGAATTAATATCTATTTTATGCACTTGTCTGTGCCTTCCATTCTGTGAAGGCTTTTTTTGGGTGTAAGGATGAGAGTCCAAGGGCAATGGGCTCCATTAAAAAGGGAGTTGACTGTAAGAAAATGTCTGCCTGTGTGTAGACTCAGGAGCCAGACATGTGGACATGAGAAACACGAACAAAAGGGATTCCCCAAAGAATCTTGCGTTTCATTATTTTTCAGTGACGCCATCTGCAGTTTTGTTATCTGCAATGATTCTTCCCTTCGAGGCCAGCCGATTATCTTCAATCCTGACTTTTTTGTGGAGAAACTCCGACATGAGAAACCAGAGGTGTTCACCGAGCTGGTGGTCAGCAATATCACAAGGCTTATCGATTTACCTGGAACTGAGTTGGCTCAGCTGATGGGGGAAGTGGACCTTAAGTTGCCTGGTGGGGCTGGCCCAGCTTCAGGATTCTTCCGGTCTCTAATGTCTCTCAAGCGAAAGGGTAGGAGATGGGTCTGTGAATGGTGGGCGGGTCTCAGCTGTTCACTGGGCTTCACTCTTTTTTTAATTTTATTTATTTATTTATTTTTTATTTGAAAGGCAGAGGTAGAGAGAGAGAGAGAGAGAGAGAGAGAGAGACAGACAGACAGAGAGGTGTCTTCTATCCGATAGTTCACTCCCCAGATGGCTGCAACAGCCAGAACTGCACCAACCCAAAACTAGAAGCCAGGAGGTTCTTCTGGGTCTTCCATGTGGGTGCAGGGGTCTAAGGACTTGGGCCATCTTCCACGGCTTTCGCAGGCCACAGCAAAGAGCTGGATCGGAAGTGGAGCAGCTGGGCTTTGAACTGGCGCCCATGTGGGATGCCGGCATTGCAGGCAGCGGCTTTTCCTGCTACGCCACAGTGCTGGCCCCCAGCGCTTCACTTTTAACATCTGCACATTCACTGTGGAGTTAGTATTACCCTAAAGCATTTTTTGATAATTTTTCTCATTTTCATACACAGTAAAAGCTGAAGCATTAGTGATAAAAAGTAATAAAACTATCTAAAGAAGTAATTAAATTAAAGCAAATATATTTAGTTCCTGAGAAGTAATATTAGTGTAGGTAGTTATTGGGGGCATGTATTGATTTTTATACCTTATTTTTTTTTTAAAGTTTTCATTTATTTATTTGAGAGGTAGAGTTACAGACAGAGAGAGGGGGAGAGACAGAGAGAAATGTTGCCCATCCACTGGTTCACTCCCCAAATGGCTGCAATGGCTGGAGCTGGGCTGATCTGAAGCCAGGAGCCAGGAGCATCTTCCGGGTCTCCCATACAGGTGCAGGGGCCCAAGCATTTGGGCCATCTTCTAGTGCTTTCCTTGGCCATAAGCAGAGAGCTGGATTGGAAGAGGAGCAGCCAGGACTTGAACTGGCGCCCAATTGGGATGCCAGTGCTGCAGGTGGCGGCTTAGCGCACTATGCCACAGCGCTATCCCCTTTCATACCTTTTTTTTTTTTTTACAGGCAGAGTGGACAGTGAGAGAGAGAGACAGAGAGAAAGGTCTTCCTTTTGCCATTGGTTCACCCTCCAATGGCCGCCACGGCCGGCGCGCTGCGGCCGGTGCACCGCGCTGATCCGATGCCAGGAGCCAGGAGCCAGGTGCTTTTCCTGGTCTCCCATGGGGTGCAGGGCCCAAGCACCTGGACCATCCTCCACTGCACTCCCTGGCCACAGCAGAGAGCTGGCCTGGAAGAGGAGCAACCGGGACAGAATCCGGTGCCCAAACTGGGACTAGAATCCGGTGTACCGGTGCCCCTAGGCGGAGGATTAGCCTAGTGAGCCGCAGCGCCCGCCCATACCTTATTAATAGTATACTAGAGGGGGCCGGCGCTGTGGCGTAGTGAGTAAAGCTGCTGCCTGCAGTGCTGGCATCCCATATGGGCACCGGTTTGAGTCCCGGCTGCTCCACTTCTGATCCAGCTCTACTGTGGCCTGGGAAAGCAGGAAAAGATGGCCCAAATACTTGGGCCCCTGCACCCACATGGGAGACCCAGAAGAAGCTCCTGGCTCCTGGCTTCAGATCAGCACAGCTCCGGCCGTTGCTGCCAATTGGGGAGTGAACCAGCAGATGAAAGACTTTCTCTCTCTCTGCCTCTCCTCTCTCTGTGTAACTCTGTCTTTCAAATAAAATAAAATAAATCTTTAAAACAAACAAACATGAAGAAACAGAGCCATGACTGCCAAAACCAGGACAGATTATCCACTGAAGTTGCTACAGGACCTTATCTGTTAAAGTTTAACCATTTTTTCTACCTCAATGACTTCCTATACTCAACAAAACAAAATAGTTCTTTAATATCTTATCAAAAACAGTGCTATAATGTCTTTACTTTCTGGGAAGGCTTCTTTTTGGTGATGCATAGGTATCTGAGAACTACTACAATAAAAAATAGTCGAACTTTCTTAATGTACTCTCCAACATGTGCTCCAGGCCAGGGCTTTAACCAGCTGTGCCACAGCGCTGGCCCCAGTTTCTTCGTTTTTAAACTAAATCTCAACATACTAGATATTATTTTTTAAATAAGAAGATGGTTTTCACCTTCAGTGAGCATACAGTGTAATACTGAAGTCAGAGAGAAATTGACTGAGAGTTGTTTTAATTACATTTCCTGGTATGCTTCTAGTTTTAAGGTTTTTATTTACTCACCCTGTGAAAACATTTGCTGAACTGTAAAACAGGACGCTTGAGTGGTTTTAACTGTGATGATTTTGTACTCTGTATGTAAAACATAGCCCTGTCTTGTCATATGGTTTTTCAGAAAAAGGAGTGGTATTTGGATCCCCACTGACAGAGGAAGGCATCGCCCAGATATACCAACTAATTGAGTATCTGCATAAAAGTAAGATCGCACAAGGTTTTATTGTTCTTTGTTTAATGAAGCATTGTCCATTTTGTCTTGAGGGCTATCAGCCTTGAATTAGTAGGACACATTTACTCATCAGTAGTCGAACTAAACAGTGATAATTTCAGGCAGCATATTTTAAAATATATTTCTTTTTATACTTTGTGTATTGATTTGCTTTATACTCTCAATGATGTATGTAAATCAGATAGTGTCCGTGAAATCACATTTACCTCTTAACTCAGAGGGAAATTTCTTGTGGAAAAATACTTTGTCCTTAAATAATTGTGATGTTTATTCAAAGGAGCATGATACTTTACTTCTTTAGAATTCTATGATTAACATACACTTTTAATTCCCATTTCGGCTTTCATAGTCTTGCTGGCCATGTCATTGCTTAAGTGCTTGACATAGCTGAGCAGATGTAAAATGTGTGACCTCAGTGATGCCTTGATAAAAATTCAAAATATTTCCTTGATGAATTCAACCCAAGCAGTTAGTTATGACTTACTCTGTGTGGGGCATTGTGCTAGGAGCTAGAGCAGAGGTTGCAAACTGGCAGCTCAGAGCTTGAGTCATCTGCATTTGTGTTTAGTTTGGTTGGCAAAGGATTGCATTAAAAGCAACTGTAGTTGTCAGTGTTTTAAGATGGGTAGAGTCCAGGCTTCCCACATCTTCGGATGATAGGAAGGTAAGGCCTCCTCCGGCCCAGCTGCCCCGTGGACAGTCAGCTGGAGCTCAGGTTTGTGTTCCCCAGTTTGTTGCAGAGCTCATCCATTCCTTCACTGTCGCCTGGCGCCCTGCAGGCATTTGAAGCTGGACTCCTGCATAAGGGGGTTCTACAAAGATGAACGTGTACTTCAATTGAAAACATGAACTCTCACTTCTTCCAGATCAAAGCAAAACTCTGTCTCATCTTTTTATTTTTTTGTCCATAATTGAGATTTTATTGGTGTTGAGAATCAGCACACACATTTTACTTTGTATATAATTCTTAACATATATACCAAAAGTCTAAAAAGCCATGGATTGTCATTCTTTTTTTAAAAAGCTATTCTAGTGACCTTGCAGCTTCAAATTTGGAGGAAGCTCTTCCTTACGAGGCTATCAAGTACCAGTACCTTCAGATGTTGCTGTTACATAAATCCCACCCATTCACAATTTAATATCATATACACTGCATACCCAAATTTTCAATCTTTCACAGCACATGAACAAAATCATTAGGAAAACTGGACTGCCACAACCAAAGGTATCACAGAGCACACATGATTCCAATGCAGCGACAAGGAGTGGTTTTCTGTTGGGAACAGTTCTACCAAACAGCAAAGGAGAAGTAACTGAAAATATTCAAGACAGGATTGAGACTCTAAATTGCCATTTAGTATGCATTGTATTGTAGGATATAAAAACCACCCCCACCTATGGAATGTTAAGCTGACACCAGAATTCAATATGCCACTCTTTTCTGGTTGTACCAAAAAATAAACAAGCAACAAATTATTTCACCTCTTAAAAAAAATCATTTACACTTAAAACATGGGATGAGGTAGGCTTCCTTCCTTCTTAAAAATGTTTCTAGAGCTACTATAAAACTTGCATTTACAAAATAGTTGATAAAAATATCCCTTTGGGTTGTACAAGAAGGGAGACAGCCACCTGGTGTCTGATACTAATCAGACTTGGCTTCTTTCTCTTTGGCTTCCTCGAGCCCGTTTTCTCCGTTTTCTGCAGGCTCACCTTCCTTAGCTTCCTGTTTGGCCACCTCGGCCTGTTTTCCCTTTTCTCCTCTCTTCCCTTTGCTTGTACTTTCGCGGCGGGGGTAGGGGGTGGTGGTGGGGGGGCGGGCGGCTTCCCAGACATTGCTGACCTCACGGGCTCCTGTTCACGCCCTTTCAGCAGAGCTGACCTTCCTCTGGAGCACTTTGGGGACGGACAGGGAGGGCTAGTGCCTGTGCCTGCGGGCTGCGGCCGCCTGAGAGCCTTCCCGAGGCTGGGCTGCCTGGCCGCTGCTGCACCTCCCAACGCCCGAGCTCTCACCTTCCATGTGTCTTCCACATGGTGGCAGAGACCTAATTAGGGTTAGGTCCATCGTCACGGCCTCCCAAGGTGCATAGTAGCAGGAAGCTGGAAGTGGATGCAGTGCCAGCACTCAAATCCAGCTACTCTGATATGGGAGGCAGGCATCCCAAGTGCCCTCTTAACCACTGTGCCAAGTGCTCACCCCTCCTACCTTTTTAAAAATTATAGCTACAGGAGTTTAGAACTTGTTGGAAGGGAGGAGGAGTTTCTTTGGAGTGACTCTTGGCTTTTGAGAACCTTATGGGCTGAAAGGTACCTGATGCATTAGAGTTCTAATTTCCTAGGGCAACGTAGACTCTAGATTTATTCTGGTCTGGGAAAACTGTCTGCAGGAGCAGCAAGCCTCCGTACAGCAGGTCAGCCCCTCCATACCAAGTCTGGGGCGAGCAAGGGAAAGGGGCTCAGGGCAACTGGCTTTTCTTCCATTTATTTTCCCTGCTTATTCTGACCATTGATTAGGGTGACTTCGTGGTCTTTCAGGGGCATCTCTGGAGGCTGCGGGACTCCTGGGAAGCCCAGCTTTTCATCTGGGCTCAGCTATGTCTCCTCAGGGCGCCCGTAGGTTCTAAACAGTCCTGGGGGAAAAAAGCAAACATGTCCTTTAACACCTTTTTGAAGATTATTTTAAGTGAAAAGTAGTGTTTTGACTGTATTTTATTTATGATTTCTCTTTTTGCCTGTCCTGTTTTATTCCATGCAAAGCAGACTTGCGAGTAGAGGGCTTGTTTAGAGTACCAGGCAACAGTGTCCGACAGCAGATTTTAAGGGATGCTCTCAATAATGGAGCTGATATTGACCTGGAATCAGGGGAATTTCACTCAAATGATGTTGCCACTTTACTGAAGATGTTTCTAGGAGAGTTACCAGAGCCCTTGCTGACACATAAACATTTCCATGCACACCTCAAAATTGCTGGTGAGTATACAGCGTGGGAGTTTATGTAAATATATTTCTTTGAATTAATATAGTCCTTCGGAATTTTCTTTTTAAAATTATTTTAAAGATTTTATATATTTGAAAGAGAGAGGGAGGGAGAGAGAGAGATAGATCGATCTTCATCCACTGGTTCACTCCCCAAATGGCTGCAATGGCCAGAGTTGAGCAGATCTGAAGCCAGGAGCCAGGAGCTTCTGAGTCTCCCATGTGGGTGCCGGGGCCCAAAGACTTGGGCCATCCTCCATGGCTTTCCCAGGCACATTTTAACAGGGAGCTGGATCGGAAGTAGAGCAGCTGGGACTTGAACCACAGCACTGATCCCTAAATTTTGTTTAGTTGAAAGACACAGAGAGACAGACATATAGGGAGGCATCTTCCATCTGCTGGTTCACTCTCCAAAAGCCTAGAACAGCCAGGGCTGGGTCAGGCCAAAGCCAAGAGCTAGGAATTCCATCCTGGTCTCCCACATGGATGGCAAAGGCCCAAGCACTTGGGTCATCTAATACTGTTTTCTCAAACACATTAGCAAGAAACTAGATTCAAAGCAGAGTAGCTGGGACTCGAACCGACACTCCAATTTACAATGCCAATGTTGCAAGCTGCAGCTAAACCCAATGTGCCACATCATTTTTGTATCCCAGAAAAATCCTAGCATAGTGCTTTGAATATTTTAGTTATTTAATTAATGTGTTCTTTGCATTGCTTTGTATTGATTGGAGTCATTAAGTTCACATACTTCAAATGGTTATGGGTTTGGTATGTTAGCTTTGGTTTGGGGCTTTTGCTAAGAATTTATGTCTCAATTGAGGTGACCTCTACACTTGGAAATTCATTTTTTAAATAATTTTTTTCTGAATAGACAGTACATTCACATTATTCAAAATTCAAAAGGTTCAGTGACTATCCCTAAAATGCTTCTCTCCCACCCCTGTTCTCCAGCAGAAGAGAACAGTGCTGTGGATTTCTGATGAACCATTTCAGGGATATTTTGTATTCTAAGAAATACATATTTTCCTTTTCTCCTCTTTTTATGTGATGGTAGGGTACATTCCTAGACGCATAGTTCTGTGGTTTGCTTCTTCATGTAATGTATTTTGGAGAGTGTTCCATTTTCAGCTCATAGTAGTTTTCTCACTCTTTATGCCTTGTTAGGGAATTCTTAAATTGCACAGCTGTTACGCTGCTATAGGCACCAAGTGCACACAGCATTAATCCATACAGTGTTTACTTAGTTTTCTGCACTTGAGCATTTTTTCCCTTTCTTTTGATTTGAGGAAAATAAATATAAGATTTTTTATTTGGATAATTTTTAGTACTTAAAAGCAAGCTAGTCTTGAACTTTAAAAAATGTGATTAGATTAAAAAAAACTTTCAGTAGCAGTCCAAATGATATAAATGAATAAATATTACTTAATAAAATGCTGTATACTTTTATAATTATTTTGGGGAGAAATAAAAGTTGTTAGATCTTTGAAAAAGACTTAAATATTGAAAAATTCTTTTAATGTGTTTACATGAAGAATGCTTATTTAATGTGCTTTCTAGTTGAGTTCATTCATTTAGTGAGTGTTTGAACTCCTCCCCTTCGCCGTCTTCTGATTCGTTCTTCTTTGTGAATATACTGATACTGAGGTGCAGCACAGTTGTGGCATTTGAAATGCCTTGCTGATAGCTGGAAGAAGTTTTGTTTTCAATTTCATATATATATATATTTTTTGTGACAGGCAGAGTTAGACAGTGAGAGAGAGAGAGACAGAGAGAAAGGTCTTCCTTTTCCATTGGTTCACCCCTCAAGTGGCCGCTATGGCTGGCACATTGCGGCCGACGCACTGCGCCGATCTGAAGCCAGGAGCCAGGTGCTTCCTCCTGGTCTCCCATGGGGTGCAGGGCCCATGGACTTGGGCCATCCTCCACTGCCCTCCTGGGCCACAGCAGAGAGCTGGACTGGAAGAGGAGCGACTGAGACAGAATCCGGCGCTCCGACTGGGACTAGAACCCCGGGGTGCCGGTGCCGCTGGTGGAGGATTAGCCTAGTGAGCCATGGTGCTGGCCTCAATTTCATATTTTTTTTTCAATTTCATATTAATAGAGAACATTTTCTGGTAATATTACCTATGTTTCCCAAACTTGGAATTGTTATTGAAGTTAAACAGCTTAAATAACACACTGTAATCATTTTCTGATCTGTATGAATTATACCTAAGTGGTTGTTAGTTTCTTTGAAATTCTAATTAGCCAAGGGACTTTATGATAACCTGGGCAGCCTGTTAGGGGAGAAGCAGTGATTTTATGATGCTGTGAAGAGAGCTGCCTGGAACCATCCTGTTACCATTTTTCTTTTAACCATAAATGTCTGAGTGGGTGAAAGGTGAAGGGGATGACATTACGAAAGGCATGTGTGGACATGTTTTCATTTCTCTTGGATACATGCCTAGGAATGGAGTTGCTGGATCATATGGTAACTCCAGTTTTTTGAGGAACTGCCAAATGTTTTCCCAAATGGTTTACTGTTTTACATCCTCACCAGCAATGTCAGAAGTTTTAATTCTCTCTGCATTTGTTATTGTCAATCTCTTCCCTCCCTTCTATGATGGGAGTTGAGGGGAGAATAATAGTAATAGTGTTTTTCTTGCTGAGATAATCTCTTCTCTTCTCAAGATCTGATGCAGTTTGATGACAAAGGAAACAAGACCGATGTCCCAGATAAGGAGCGGCAGATCGAGGCTCTCCAGCTGCTCTTCCTTATCCTCCCTCCACCCAATCGTAATTTGCTGAAGTTACTGCTCGATCTCCTGTACCAGACAGCAAAGAAACAAGACAAGAATAAAATGTCTGCCTACAACCTCGCCCTTATGTTTGCACCCCATGTCTTGTGGCCAAAAAATGTGAGTGGACAGAAAAAATAAAGATTGCTTGTTTTTTTGGGCTGGGCCTCATCCTCTGTCTGTACCTTGGTGAGATTATCAAGGGTCCAAAGTCTACTCTTCAGCTTTATGAGGTTCATTCAAGAGTCATCAGACTCGAGGGGCCAGTTCCTGTTAACCTCACTTATAAATTCCTCTCTGATAAACCTGTGTGGCAACTTAGTAGAACTGTTTGTAGAACACTAAACTAGTATACTCATTTTGACTGGTCAGTGTGAATACCTTCTTAACACAAAAGCCTTCTTGGGAAATCAAATTAGTTTCTGAAGAGTGAGTGGTATAAATTTAGAGCAGAGCTGGATGATCCTACAAGATTATGTTACCAAGCTTTTAGATGAGATGACATGGAATAACCCTGTATTGCCCTAACTTTTCTGTTTCCTATAGACATAGTCTCCTTGGATAAAGCCAAGTGTGATTCTTATTACCGAGACCATGGCCTTCTCAGTGACTTACATGAAAAAGAAATTATCTGAAGTCTTTTAATTAAGTTTCACCTGGAGGGACATAGCTGATATTCCTGCCCATTCATAGTATGGATTTTATTGTGTGATTGGATTGAGTACCAGAGTATCTGGGTTGGAATCTTCAAAACCACTGTATTTTCCTTTGTCTTTCTTCCCTTCTATGCTAGGCTCCTTCTTTCTCTCTCTTTCTCTCTGTCTCTCTCTCTCTTTTTTTTTTTTTTTTTTTAAATTCATTTATTTGACAGATAGAGTTAGACAGTGAGAGAGAGAGACAGAGAGAAAGGTCTTCCTTCCGTTGGTTCATCCCCCCCAAATGGCCACTACGGCCACCAATCCGAAGCCAGAAACTAGGAGCCAGGAGCCTCCTCCTGGTCTCCCAAGTGGGTGCTGGGGCCCAAGCACTTGGGCCATCCTCCACTGCCTTCCCAGGCCACAGCAGAGAGCTGGACTGGAAGAGGAGCAGCCTGGACTAGAACCCAGTGCCCATATGGGATATCGGCACCTCAGGCGGAGGATTAACCAAGTGAGCTAAGGCACCGCCCCCCCCTCCCCTTTTAAGATTTTATTTATTTATTTGAGAGATAGAGTTACAGACAGTGAGAGGGAGAGACAGAGAGAAAGGTCTTCCATCAACTGGCCGCAATGGCTAGAGCTGGGCTGATCCAAAGCCAGGAGCCAGGAGCTTTTTCTGGGTTTCCCACGGGGGTGTGGGATAGGCTCCTTCGCATTAAACAGGGTGTAGTGCTAGCTTCATGACTTATGCACAAGGTTGTAGGGACGATAATAGAAAAAGTGATAGGAAATTCTGGGCCACAGAGGTCCTGTGAGATGGGTTGGGGAGGAGAGGTCACACCACACTCGTCCGTAGTAGGGCGATAAGGCCTAATGAAGGGTTTTAGAACCAGCTAACCAAGACTGGAAACGGAGCAAGTAAACCGTGGTTGTCAAAAGAAATATTTAAGAGATCCTTAGAAAAGCAAACATGTAAAGTAACAAAGATAAACGTTGAGGATGCGGGCTTTTGGATAGCAGAGATCTGAAGTCCTTTAAAAAGAGAAGACACAGGAGAAGGGACTCAGTGCTGGCTTGCGTTCGTAACACACGGGCATCACCTTTTGTATCAGCAGTGTCAGTTCTCCTTCCCCTCTGGAGAAATTCCAGTTTTTCTGAAGCATTTTTGTCCTTGACTGCTGGTGCAGATTGTGTTCTTCCTGCCTACTTTAAGTCCTGGACTAGATTTTCCATAGCCACTTTGCTTACATGTCTAATTCTTACGCAGAATTAGGGTTTGAAGATTGCCTCACCAGGATTTCCTGGTCATTTCGGGGAGCATGGCTGTTTTTAGATTATGTCAAATCCAGTGAGAAGCTGCTGAAGCAAAAAGCCTTTCTGGAATTAAACATTGTATTAAAGACACCTTTGCTAGGATACTGTCATATATTTGAAAGGATAATGCTTGTTTGTCAGTATTACTTCCCAGCTTTTAATATCCTTTGTTTGGTTTCTTTTCCTCTGAATAGGTCACTGCAAATGACCTTCAGGAGAATATCACAAAGCTAAACAATGGGATGGCCTTTATGATTAAACATTCCCAGAAGCTGTTTAAGGTAGGTAAGGGATGACATTTGGTTGCTAACAGGACAAGTAAGATGGAATGAGGTGAGATTCTGGGCAGGGCTATAAAGATGACAAAGTAAGAAAAATCCTGACTGGCATTGTAAATCAGAAGAGACAGCGGCAAAACCAAGGGGGAACAACCCAGTGAGGAGGAGAGAGGATAGGAGGTGGAGCAGGACTTAGCACTTGGTGCTCTGGGTGGTTGGCTCTCCACTGCCCCTGAAAGGCAGCTCCTAGCCTGCCTGCTGACTCCCATCTGCCCCGGATTGTGAGACTGTCACATCTCCATTTCTTTTTGTACTTTATCCCTTTCTGTATCAAACGAGTGGTGTTTCTGCCAGCCTAGTTTTCAGGAACTTTGTGGGTCTTAGTGAAGATGAATCCTTCTCCACTTTGGTCTCTTGCTGAGAAGGCTGAGGGACAACACCTTTAAACTTCCTAAAGGCACTTTGGTTTGATGGAGGAGGTCTTTTGCCACAGCCCAGCTCTCTTGAAAAACTCTTTATGTGACCAGATTCTCTGATGTTTCTAAGATTTTAGCAAAAAGTTGTACTGTCATATCCTGGCCTTTTTTTTTTTAAAGTATACTTTCTTGATAGTTAATTTCTATTTTTTTAAAAAAGATTTATTTATTTGCAAAGCAAAGTTACAAAGTGAGAGAGAGAAAGGCAGAGGGGTCTTCCATCTGCTGGTTCACTCTCCAAATGGGTGCAATGGCCAGGGCTGGGCCAGGCTCAAGCCAAGAACCAGGACCGGAAGCTTCATCTGGATCTCTCACATAGGTGGCAGGGGACCAGGAACCTAGACCATCTTTTGCTGCTTTCCCAGGAGCATTAGCAAGGATCTGGATCAGAAGTGGAGCAGCTAGGACTTGAACCAGCAGGCAAGAGCTTAACCTGCTGCTGATACATTTGATGAAAAATTTAAAAAAACTTTATGACTTCAGTTTTTTGTTTTGTTGCCCGTGCTTTTGATGTCGTATCCAAGAATCACTGCCAATCCAGTGTCATGGAATTTTTTTAAATATTCTTTTTGATTGACTTATAATTTTACATATAGATGGGTTACGTTGTGATGTTTTGATGCCTGTATACTTAGTGTAACAATCAAATTAGAGTAATTAGCATTATCTATCACCTCAGACATTTATAATTTGTGATGAGAACATTAGAAGTCCTTTTTGGGGCAAGTATTTGGTTTAGTGGTTAAACCATATTGTAGGGCGGGCCGGCGCCGTGGCTCAATAGGCTAATCCTCCGCCTTGCAGTGCCAGCACACTGGGTTATAGTCTCGGTCAGAGCGCTGGATTCTGTCCCCGTTGCCCCACTTCCAGGCCAGCTCTCTGCTGTGGCCCAGGAGTGCAGTGGAGGATGGCCCATGTTCTTGGGCCCTGCACCCGCATGGGAGACCAGGAGAAGCACCTGGCTCCTGGCTTCGGATCAGTGAGGTGCGCTGGCTGCAGGGCGTCGGCTGCGGTGACCATTGGAGGGTGAACCAACGGCAAAGGAAGACCTTTCTCTCTGTCTGTCTCTCTCTTTCTGTCCACTCTGCCTGTCACAAACAAAACAAAAACAAAACAAAACAAAACAACCCATATTGTAGGGCCTGGGTTGAATACCCAATTCTAGCTCCTGACTCCAGCTTCCTACTAAAGCAGACCCTGGGAGGCAGTGATGATGGCTCACATAATTATAATTAGGTCTCTGCCATCCAAGTGGGAGACTTGGATTGAGTTCTTGGCTCCCTCAGCATTTGCCCAGTACTAGCCATTGAGAGTACTGGAAGAGTGAACCAGTGGTTAAGAGCTCCCTCCCTCTGTTTCTCACTCTGTCTGGCTCTGTCTCTCTGCCTCTAACAAAAAATTCTCTCTCTGGCCATTCTGAAATATGCAACACATTATGGTTAACTGTGGTCACTCTACATCATATACAACAGAACTTGTTCCTCCTATCTGACTGTCCTCTCCCTGTTTCTCCTGCCTCCCTTCTCTCCTCAGTCTCTGGTTACCAGTATTCTATTCTGAGCTTCTATGAGATGAGCTCTTTTAGATTCATTTGTTTTTCTGTGTCTGGCTTACCTCACCTAACATAATGTCCTCCATCTTCATCCATGTTGTTGAAGATAATGGGATTTCATCCTTTCATGTATGGCTGAACAGTGTTCATTATTTATATATGCTGTATTTTCTTTATCCCTTCACCTACTGATAGTCTTTTAGGTTGATTTGCATACTTTTCTGTTGTGAATAATGCTGCAATAAGTATGAGAGTGCATACTGATGTCATTCCTATGGATATATACACCCAGTAGTGGGATTGCTGGCTTTCTTCTGCTGTATTTTTAAAAATCTTTAAAGGATATTAAATAATTTTATGTCAGTAATTTTGGCAACTTATGTGAAATGCATATTTCTTCAAGAACACAAGTTTAAAAAACTGACATGGTAAGAAAAAAATTTTCAAATAGCCTTGTATGACTTAAATAAATTATATTTATTTTTAGAATGTTCCCCCCAGAGGTAACTAAATTCTTAAATGATTTCACTGGTGAATTCTAGTAAACACTTAAAGAAGAAATAATAACATATTCTTTCAGAAAATAGAGAAGGGTCAAATGTTTTTTTTTTGTTTTGTTTGTTTTTGTTTTTAAATATTTATTTGAAAGAGTTACACAGAAAGAGAAGGAGAGGCAGAGAGAGGTCTTCCATCCACTGGTTCACTCCCCAGCTGGCTGCAATGACTGGAGCTGTGTCAATCCGAAACCAGAAGCCAGGAGGCTCCTCTGGGTCTCCCACGCCGATGCAGGGGCCCAAGGACTTGAGCTATCTTCCACTGCTTTCCCAGGTCACAGCAGAGAGCTGGATCAGAAGCGGATCAACCAGATCTTGAACCGGTGCCCGTATAGGATGGCGGTACTGCAGATGGTGGCTTAACTTGCTATGCCACAGCACTGGCCCTGGGTCAAATGTTTTCTAACTTGGTTTAAGAGACCAACATAGCCATAAATCAAAATGTAATGAGTGGGGTCTGCGCTGTGGCATAGTAGGTTAAGCCTCCGCCTGTGGCCCCGGCATCCCATATGGGTGCGGCGTTTGAATCCTGACTGACTGCTCTACTTGCAATCCAGCTCCCTGCTAAAGGCCTAGGAAGGCAATAGAAGATGACCCAAGTTCTTGGGCCCCTGAACTGTTAGGTTTGGAATAGCTCAGGGTTTTGGCCTTTTGTACCCCCAGAAAAGAGAGACAGAAAAAGGAGACAGAGCCGACTTCAGCAGAGATAGGCTGCTTTACTGAAGCAAGTGGGGCAGCAGTTTGTTCTTGTGAAGAGACTGCGAGCATAGGGCTGGGCTTTATCTGGTCTGGTTGCCAAGGGAACTTGACACCAGGGGCTCTCCAGAAGCTTTGCAAGCCTTTCACTTGTGTAGTTTTGCAAGCCATTTTGCAGGTGGCTAGAGAGAGAGAGAGACCATGAGCCGGTCTCCCACGGTTGGGGAGTGGGGGATGGTGACATTCTTAAGAGCCATATTGTCCTGTACGCACCCTTGTGGGCAGCCTGGAAAAAACTTCTGGCTCTGGATCAGCCCAGTTCTGGCTGTTTTGGCCATCTGAGGAGTGAGCTAGAGGATGGAAGGTCTGTCTCTCCGTAACTCTGCCTCTCAAATAAATGAGTCTTTAAACAATAACAACAACAACAACAACAAAACCTAATGAGTAAGTTAAAATATTGCAGAACTGTAGCCCTTATTTATTTATTTTTTATAGAAAGCTTTTATTTAATAAATATAAATTTCACAAGTACAACTTTTGGATTATAGCAGTTCTTCCCCCCATACCCACCCTCCCAGCCCCAAACCATCCCACCTCCTACTCTCTTTCCCATCCCATTCTTCATTAAGATTTGTTTTTAATTATTTTTATATACAGAAGATCAACTCTATACTAAGTAAAGATTTCAACAATTTGCACCCACACAGACACACAAAGTATAAAGTACTGTTTGAAGACTTGTTTTACCATTAATTTTCATAGTACAACACATTAAGGACAGAGGTCCTGCATGGAGAGCAAGTGCACAGTGACTCCTCTTGTTGATTTAACAGTTGACACTCTTATTTATGATGTTAGTGATCACTCGAGACTCTTGTTAGCTGCCAAGGCTATGGAAGCCTCTTGAGTCCACAAAGGCCATAATCAAAGTGGAAGTTCTCTTCTCCCTTCGGAGAAAGGTACCTCCTCCTTTGATGGCCCCTTTTTCCACCGGGATCTCACTCACAGAGATCTGTCATTTAGGTCATTTTTTGCCACAGTGTCTTGGCTTTCCATGCCTGAAATCTCATGGGCTTTTTAGCCAGATCCGAATGCCTTAAGGGTATAGCCCTTATTAATATAGGTGAAAGGGCTGGCGATGTGGCTCAGTAGGTTAATCCTTCACCTGCAGTACCAGTTCGAGTCCCGGCTGCTCCACTTCTGATCCAGCTCTCTGCTATGGCCTGGGAAAGCAGTAGAAGATGGCCCAAGTGCTTGGGCCCCTGCACTCGTGTGGGAGAAAAAGCTCCTGGCTCCTGGCTTTGGAACAGCGCAGCTCCAGCCAATGTCGCCATTTGGGGAGTGAACCAGCAGATGGAAGACCTTTCTCTATATCTCTCCTGTTCTCTGTCTATAACCGTATCTCTCAAATAAATAAATAAAATCTTAAAAAAAATAGGTGAGGCCGGCGCCGCGGCTCACTAGGCTAATCCTCCACCTAGTGGCGCCGGCACACCGGGTTCTAGTCCCGGTCGGGGCACCGGATTCTGTCCCGGTTGCCCCTCTTCCAGGCCAGCCCTCTGCTGTGACCAGGGAGTGCAGTGGAGGATGGCCCAGGTGCTTGGGCCCTGCACCCCATGGGAGACCAGGAAAAGCACCTGGCTCCTGGCTCCTGCCATCGGATCAGCGCGGTGCGCCGGCCGCAGCACGCCGGCCGCGGCGGCCATTGGAGGGTGAACCAACGGC